GCATAGGCAGGTGGATCTCAGTGAGTACGAGGCCAGCCTACAGTGCGAGTTCCAGGGCAACCAGAACCTGAGGGTTCAGGATGCAAAGCCAGTCACACTAGTCAGCTATAGAAACTAGGCAGTGGTGGAACACATCTTTAATCCCAGGACTCAGGGGTTAAGAGGCAAATGGATCTCTGTTAGTTCAAGGTCACAGTGACTACATGAAATTGATCCAGTCGTAAAAGAAACAGCTAACACAAAGCTGATTTCAGCACCTGGGATCACACACCTTTTATCCCAGCACTAGGGAGGTGGAGACAGGAGTGATATGGCTGGGCAGAGAAAGGAATCAAAAGAGGAGGAGATAGGAACTGAGAGTTTTTGTCTCTGAGGATTCCTGAAGACAGGATTGCCACTTTAGCTGGGTAGAGGTAAGAGCTACTTGGCTCAGTTGCTTTGCTTCTCTGATCTTCAACTTGAAGCTTGAACCCCAATATCTGTCTCTGGGTTAATTTTTTAATTTTTTTGTGCTACAAATAATGCCCAATGTAGGGTACAAATTCAGGGAAAAGCCCCTTTGAGACCACCAGCACGGGTCAAACCTGAACTGCAGGCAGGACTCCGGACTGAGTCCCCTAACTGACCAATAGGTTTTCTTTTGTTTTCTCCTCAAATCTTTGAACAAGTGTGGGATTTTTCAGCTGTAGCTTTTCTAAACAGTCTTCAGCTGCCACCCAAACTTGGGAGGTTTTCAGGATTTTCTTACAGCCCTCTCCTCAGGCTTTTACTCTGAGCTCACAGTCAAGCTAGTTCTCTGATTCAGACGTGCTATACCTCACAGTTGACTGACATTGTCAGGAAATTTGTTAAGTCAATTGGAAATTCCTAAAGGAAGGGATGAGTTAAAAAAGAGAGGTTTTTCCCACACTAAAAAAAATGGAAACTAGTATTAAAATGGTGAGAATTGGGTCTGCATGATTACATAATGGACGGTTTAAAAATGGAACAAATAATGAAGGCACAACCAACTTAACCAGGATTGACATACTGTTAATTATAATTTTGATAATCTTTGTTGTCAATTTGATCATTTTTGAGACAGTCTTTTGTTGTTGTTTTTTTCAAAACAGGGTTTCTCTGTGTAGCTTTGGAGGCTGTCCTGGAACTCACTCTATAGACCAGGCTGGTCCCAAACTCACCGAGCTCTGCCTGCCTGGGCCTCTCAAGTGCTGGGATTAAAGGTGTGCACCACCAATGCCCGGCTATTACAGTCTTTCTTGTTACCAAATTCAAAAAAGAAACTCACAAAAGAGATATAAAGTATATAAGGCTGAGAGACACAAAAGCTTAAATTGTTTATCTAAGAAAAAGTTTTGAGGACTCAAGAGATAGTTTTGCATTGGTAATACATTATGATTAAAAATGGTTTAGGTATAAAACTTTGAACTCATCAAGGTAAGATAGATAAAAGAGTGATTTCTCTAAACTTTCCAAATACATATGAACTAAACATTGTAAATGTAATTTTTATCTGGTAATTGTTCTTATAGTTTTACTATATTAGAGCTAAAACCCTTTCCTTTTTATTTAGACAAAAAGGGAGAAATGTTGCAAGCTATTTGACTACACCGTGTAAAGATATGTCACTGTGATTGCTTTAATAAAAAGCTAAATGGCCAATAGCTAGGCAGGAGGTATAGGTGTGACCTTCAGACAGAGAAAGCTCTGGGAAGAAGAAAGGGGAGTTGCCAGCCAGACACAAAGGAAGCATGATGAGGAAAAGTAAAAGCCACGAGCCATGTGGCAGGACATAGATTAATAGAAATGGTTTAATTTAAGCTATAAGAGCTAGTCAGAAACAAACATAAGCTAAATCTGAGCTTTCATAATTACCAAAAATCTCTGTGTCCTTATTTGGGAGCCGGCTGACAGGACAGAGAAAGATTCTACAGGCAGGATATTACTGTCCTGTAGCCACTCTCAAATAAACACACCGAGGCTTAAATTAATTATAAATGCTCAGGCTTGCTACTAACTAGCTCTTACAACTTAACCCATTTCTATTAATCTATGTGCTTCCCTGAGGCTCAAAGCTTTTGCCTCTGTCCCATTTTGTATGTCCAACTCATTCTCCATCAAACTGTTGACTCCTCTGGCTCCACCCGTCTTCATCCCAACATTCTCAGTCTGGCTTCCCTGCAAAACCTTATCCTGTTCAGCTATTGGCCAGTCGGCTTGCTTATTAAACCAATCGTAGCAACATATATTCATAAAGTGTACAGAGGATTATTCCACAGCAAGAGTCACCACAGTTCCCTACCTGCAAGTTTCAGCCTGGTCTCTTGGGGTTGGGGATCGCTCTTCCCACACACAGTGTTCCTGTGGTTGATGTTCTAAGAACTTGTGAAAGGCCCTTCTGCCTGAGTTGACTATTGTTACACCATCAAGATTCTATGCCGTCGTGTTCCAGGCCTCACTACCCACACCCCAATGGGACTTGACCAGGCAATGGTGGAGGAGTGATGGGGGATGTCCTTCTGTGTATGTGTTTTTTTTTTTTTTTTGGTTGATGAATAAAACACTGTTTGGCCAACAGACGCAGAAAGATAGACAGGACTAGGAGACGAGGAGAATTCTAGAAAAGACAGGCAGACAGAGACCACGAAGAGAAGCCATGTAACTCCAAAAGGATTAACAGGTTTGGGCATTCTCTCATAAGCCAAGACCATGTGGAAATACATAGATTTATAAAGATGGGTTAATAATTAAGACAGAGCTAGCCAATATGAAGCTTAGTCATCAGCCAACAGTTTAATAATTAATATATGTCTCTGTGTGCTTATTTGGGGCTGAAGTGGTGGTGAGACCTGGTGGGACAAGAAACTCCATTTACAGGAGGAGAGTGAGCCATCTTCCAGCATGACTATCTCCTGGTTGCAGTTTCAAGTTATCACACCACAGTTCTCCACACGTCTCCACAGCTGTCTCTGCTCCACACACTCTCCACACGTCTCGCCAGCCTCTGGATGCATTTCTTCAGCACATCTCTCTCCAGATCTTGTAGTGCCCACCCACAAAAACCCTTCCCCAATGGCACAGTTGGCCCCCACCTGGCATAAATGATATGGTCCATCTGGAAACAGTGGCTTAGCTATATCTTTGTAGCTAAATTCCCACTTGACCTTGCTTCTCTTCCTTTAGCTATTTCTCTTACAGGTTTAGGGTCAACTGCTTTGTATCATATTTTTAATGTAATTGCACTGACACATTTGTAATTCTTTAATTCACCATGTTAATTAGAAGTCTCTACATTTCATTCTCTGTTTTCATCGCCGTATTTCCCTTTTTCTATTATTTAGCTATATTTTTACATTTTTTGTTTTTAATTTTTAAAACTTATTTGGTTTTTCTTCTCTTTCCTCTATTATCTATTATCTAGTTTCATTTGTTCATTATTTTTATTGTTGAACGATCAAATTTTTTTTAGCTCTTACTTACATTCTTCTCTCTCACTCTCTCATTCTCTGAATTCTTTCTTTTCTTTTGTTTAATCTTTCTTATCTTTTCTCTTTCTGTTGTCATGCCTAGAAAAAAATCTATAGGCAGTTAAGGAATTCTGAGAGTGAGGGAAACATTCTTCTTCAGGGAAGGTCCCTAGACTGGTTGTCCAGCCCCAAATGCTTAGTCTTGAAATAATAGACATAGAAGTAACATTATATGGACTAAGCAGGTTGAATTTACATATTTAGGAATATACACAGGTTTCTTAAGGACATGAACACACATCAACAACTAAAAATAATACAATCTATAAATTTGACAAAGAGTAAGTAGAGTACATGGGAAGGGTTAGAGGGAGGAAAGGGAAGAGAAAAAATGATTATATTTTAATTTTGAAAATAAAAGATGACATAGGTATGGAGGGGGCAGATCTGGGAGGAGGAAGGGGAATATGATTTTGAATATGTGTTATATAAAATTAATAGAAAATATTGTCTTAGGGTTATATTACTGTGATAAAACAGATAAACCAGAAAGACCAAATTCCACACATTACACCCACTGGAATCCTGAGTTATTCTCCTCTATTCTGTGAAAAGATCCACTGAAATATGGCTGTGGTTTTCTACACTTTTCCAAGTCGTACATAGACAGGAAAGGTTGCCCATACTAGCCTCAAGTTAAGGCGAGCTTAAGAACTTAACATGAAGACACAACACGGAACCATTGACAAACTCAATATCTGGGCTCAGGTGCCCAGCTTGGTCTCTTCCATCCACTTCTACCAGGACCTCCACACCCACAGCTCTTTGTCATATGACCATCCAATACACAGCTTTGAAATACTTCTGGGTTTCTCTCCTAACAAAAAGGTTCAAGTATCTGGGGCCCCAGAGATGATTCCAGTATTGAGAGCACTTGTTGCTCTTGGGGAGGATCGGGATTTTATTTCCAGAACCTACATAGTAGCTTACAACCATGTGTAACTCCATTTCCAATGGATCCATCTGGATCTTCTGGCATCCCTGGACGTGAGATGCACGGGCATACATGCAAAAAAAGAAGTCAAATACATAAAATTTTAACAAGATATATCCCTAAAAGAAATAAAATGAAATGAATCTTATTTGAATATTCAACGCCTTCCTGTATCATTCCAGTGAAATCTCCGAAAGGTAATTCAATACAGAGCACAATATCCAAATCTATAAGGCCCCTTTCATGTGCTCAGTCATATAAATATAGGTTTTCTTTGTTCTGGATTGGATCTCCTGGACCCAGAGATGAACAGTCCTAGGATAATACCTCTTTAGTGTTTTAAATTAAGCCTGACAGAGGTCTCCGCCTCTCATTCCATGTTGTGGGTGGCACAACACAGATGTGTCAATGTCAGTAGATGCGATTGGAAGGTAGAAAGACTGGACTAGATAAACAGGGGCAAAGGTCCTCATCTATCCTGGGAGTATAAAAGCAGAGTGTCTCAGCCTCGGCCACAAACCTGTTATCCTCACTGGTCACCATGCTGGGCTCAGAGCTGCTCCTGGTGGCCATACTGGCCTACCTGAGTGTCATGGTCTTGGTGTCTGTCTGGAAGCAGAAAGTCAGGGGGAAGCTCCCTCCAGGACCCACTCCTTTGCCTTACATTGGGAATTACCTGCAGCTGAATACCAAAGACATGTACAGCTCCATCACAGAGGTATTACCCGATGGGGGAGGGATGGGACGTGGGAGTGTGGGAGCCTGTCCAATTTTGCATGTTCCTTGTGGCGGAAGATTCCTAGACCAAGGAATAGTCTCATGGTCGAGGAGTTGGGAAGGCTCTGGCGCTATTCCAGGTCTTTGGTTTTATTTCAGTCATTTGATTGCTGATTCCATATAAGATGCTCTCTCAGAATCTGACCTTTGGGTACTGGTCCAGTCAGGAGAGCCACTCATCTAACAACTCCCATCTACCCCACATCAGCTCAGTGAGCGCTATGGCCCCGTGTTCACCATCCACCTTGGGCCTCGCCCAGTCGTGGTGCTCTATGGATACGACGCAGTAAAGGAGGCTTTGGTGGACCAAGCAGAGGAATTCAGTGGACGAGGCGAACAGGCCACCTATAATACACTCTTCAAAGGCTATGGTGAGGGGGAAACCACACTGAGAAAAGTGGCCAGGGATGCTTGTTGGCCTCATTTAAGGAGCCTGTCCTCCTAACTCATTGCCCCGTTCAAGGCTGTGGAGTCCTCTGCTCTTCAATATGGAGTCCCATGTCCATACTGAATGTTGCCTCTCACTGTGTCCCTCTCTGGCCTGTCTCAAATCTGTGAGCATGTCTCCCGGCTGCTCTCTCCCCTATCTGCCTCTTCTCTCTCACTAGATATCTGCCTTTCATACATCCATCTCTGAGAACCTCTTGACATCCTCATAGATTGAGTCCTGTCCCCTTAATGTAACTGAGGTTTACATGTATCTACTTGATTTTTTCTATGTATGGGTGTTTGCCTGTGTTTGCCAAGTGTGTGTGCCATGTGTGTGCCTGGTGCCAGTGGAGGTCAGAGAGGTCATCAGACTTCAGAGAGTGGGGGTCACAGCGGCTTGAGAGCTGTTGTGTGGATGCCTGGGTCCCTGGGTCACCTGCAGAATGACAATGGCCTCTATCCACAGGGCCTTCTCCTCAGACACTGTTATTTTTTTATATATATATTTTGGTGTCTTCGCCTCCCACGTCCCGCTATACTCTTTCTCTTATCCTCGTTTCTTCCTCTGATTTGAGAATGACCAGCATCATTGCATTCCTCTCCCGGAAGCCTGCTGTCAGCCTCCTCCCTCTGCTTTTCTGTCTCCATGTCTTTCTTCTGTTTCCAGCCCAATGTGGGGTCAGCCACAACCTTTGTTTTCACTTCAGACTTTGGCCCCTCTTCAGTGTTGAGCTGAGGCCAGCATTTTGAAATGCTGTTTTACATACCTCAGACCTTTTCTCAAAGGTGAGTCTGACTTTCATGGAATGTCAGAGTCCAGCAAGTGCTGGCCAAGTTTGCAAAACTTCATACTGGCCTTGAGCAGCAAAATGTTTGTTCAGGCAAGAAAGGGCATGCCAAGAGCCAAATAGCTTTATACCATTAACTCTGCCGCTACTGTTTAGCACACAGCAGGTGTCTGTTTCCTTGAAGAACCCAGAGAGAGAGTCCCAAATGGCTACAACTCCCTAGCATCAAAATACAGAAGTGACCACAGCTCAGGCCACATAAACAAAACCAGAGCCAGGGACAAGGGCATGTTTGTATGAAGTCAGTCTTTGCTTTACTGGGATTTGCTGATTTCGGCAAATGCTGTCTACCAGTGGGATTCTTGGATGGTTTTGCCACTTCAGAGACCCAGAACAGCTAGCCAGCATCTTGGGACATGATGGAGCTGGTCCAGCTATGATATTGAGGACTGTAGTGCCTGGTTGTCACTGTTTCTCTTTGCCTGGATGAATTGTTACAACTGTCTTAGTAAGTTGTGTGTGCCTGATACAGTGTCTCTGTCCCTGTAACCTCTGCATTTTCTATGTCTCTATCCATCTGGGCCTCCTTCCTTTCCTCTTGGGAACCCTCTCCAGTGTGTGACTTGGGCTTGCTCGGCATCACTCTGTGTCTCCCCACCTGTGTTCTTACCTTTACAGGTGTGACCTTCAGCAGCGGGGAACGAGCCAAACAGCTCAGGCGCTTCTCCATTGCAACACTGAGAGACTTTGGTGTGGGAAAGCGCAGTGTGGAGGAGCGTATCCAGGAGGAGGCGGCCTGTTTGGTCAAGATGTTACAGAGCACCAGTGGTAAGCTGGAGACCCTTAGGTGTTTAGGCAAGAAAAGGGAGAGCCGAGACACCGAGAACCTACGGGTTGTAGAAAAGAAGGGTGGGAAGAACGCCTATGAAATGGTCCCTGGAATCTGATGCCAAGAGTGTGTTCCCTGTGTCAATGCCCACATCATCTGCTTGGCTCTTTTCTCCCTGGTTAATCCTTACGTCTTCCCACGCCATGCCTCTCAGGAGCACCCATCGACCCTACTGTCTACCTGAGCCAAACAGTGTCCAATGTCATTAATTCCATTGTCTTCGGGGACCGCTTCGACTATGAGGACAAAGAGTTCCTGGAGCTGCTGCGTATGATGGGTCAGATAAACAGATTTGCAGCTTCTCCCACTGGACAGGTGAGCAAACACAGCTCTCCCCCTTGCCTTTATAATGCCCCACGTCACTGGTACCCACACAGGGAAAGATCACCCCAGCTCTCATCCCCACAAGCATAAGCTCCCCTCAAAACCAGCCCTTACCCTAGACAACTGAAATTTTACCTCAGAGCCCATGGGAGCTATCCCGTAGGCAGATCTCCGAGGACTCCCTGAGAGCAACCTGGGAGGGTTTGCCCAGTTTACCTTATTCTCTAACAAACCCTCTGTGCGGTCCTTCTGAATATCCTAACACCTGCCCAAGGGGAGACCTTAGACCCCTCCTCCACCCTGAGCACCTGGTTCTGTCAAAGCAAAGCCAGTAAAGTTATTCGGCCCCCTACACCATTGTCCCAAAATATCCCACCAGGATAACAGGACAAGAGACACCTGCCTGTCCCACGTAAATCCGGAAATGAGTACACAGGCACCCCAACTAAGACCATCAAGGACAAATCTCTGGATAGGCTGTTTTCCCAAACACCCAAATGGGTGTCTTCCAGTCCCATAGAGCCCACATCAAAACACTGACAGGTGTGCCCACGCCTTATAGCCTGAACCAACCGCGGGCTAAAGACCTGACTATCTAGAAAACCAATTCTAATCTCAAACAAGTATCTAGACAGCTAAACAGCCCACCCCAATGCCTATACATCCAGATTGCCCATTACACTCCTGGGCTGGATACTGGAAGCAGGGAGCAAGGCTCTGACCCAAAATCACTTAAATAGCTAAATAGTTGAACACTGGGCATCATGCTTATGCCACCTCTGAATTTCTGTCTGTAAGACTGTAGTGGCAGCTCAGTGGTTAAGAGCATGACTGCACAACTCTTCCCGAAGACCCGAGGCTGGTTCCCAGCACCAAGGCTGCACACCTCACAACCTCCTTGTCTTAGTTAGGCTTTCTATTGCTATGAGGAGACACCATGACCACAGCAACTCTTACAAAGAAAACATTTCATTGAGGGGGAAGCTTACAGTTCAGAGGTTCTAACCAGCATGGCAGGGATTGTGGCACCATGCAGGCAGGCATGGCACTGGAGAAATAGCCTAGTGTTCTACATCTTGCAGGCAGCAGGAAGTTGACTGACACACTGGACAGTATCCTGAGTGTATAAAACCTCAAAGCTTGCCCCTGTTGCTGAAGGTTCTTGTCCCACCAGGTCCCACAGTCACTGCAGCCCAAATAAACCCATAAACGCTATATTAATAATAAAACTGTTGGCTGATGCCTAGAGCTGTCTAGCTGACTAGCTCTGTCTTAATTATTAACCCATGACTACTAATCTATGTATTTATTTACACATGGTCTTGGCTCACCAGAGAATGCCTGGACCTATTACTCCTTTGGAGGTTATGTGGCCACTCTCCCTACCTCACTCTGTCTCCCAGAATTCTCCTCACCTCCTAGTCCGCCTATCTTCCTGCCTCTATTGGCCAAACAGTGTTTCATTCATCAACCAATAAGAGAAACATGTATACAGAAAGACATCCCACATCGTCTCCTCTTTTCTGTCTAAACAAAAAGAAAGGTTTTAACTTTAGCAGTAAAATTAGATATAGCAAAACAGTAGTTAACAATAGTTAGTCCTTTAACATTTGGCAAAATTTAAAGAAAAATTTCTCTCATGTATCCTATTTTTGTGAGTCTAAACTGTAATATGTAACTTATCTTTCATCATAACTAAGGAAAACTATAACCATAACTATCTGTCATCAACTCCATCAAAAACCACATAAGGATAATATATAAACTCTAGTATTGACAGAGACATCTACCTAGACAGTCACGCAAAGTTCCTCTGTGATGTTGGGGCATCTATCTTTAGCCTACAGGCTTAGAGTGTCTAGCAGACTTCTCAGCAAGGTAGGAAATTTGAATTGTCCACCTGTATTGGCAGTTTGTCAGTCATTTTTCCTCTGTGCCCTGCAGAATGTCTGGCAGACTCTTCCATGAAGCAGGAACCCTGAAGGACTGTCCCATTTGTTTTGTCAAGTTCAGTAGTCACTTTCCTGTGGGTCCTGCATGTCCAGTTTATACAGCATACAGTCAAACAATCCAGGCAAGAGCAGTTTCTTGCCCAAATGGCTATTTCTGCCATGTTGGAGGCAAACTCCATAACGAGTTTCTTCTATGCCCACCTTCCTCTCTGACGTAATCGATGTTGCCAGGAGAAGTTGTGTCTCACTGTCGTGAAAAACCCTAAGCCATATTAAATGTCAGATTCTGTAGGACTTTGAAAGAGTTCTTTAAAAGATAAAGTGGAGTTGCTGTGTGCACTCTCCAGACTGCTACAAATACATTAACACTGAATGGATGCCTTGAGCTAAGAAACACTATTTCCCTGAGACAAGTCCCGTTCCCCTTGGGCATTGCCACTGACAGCTATCTCTCCCATCCTTTCTCCCCCACCCCCAGCTCTATGACATGTTCCATTCAGTGATGAAATACCTGCCTGGACCACAGCAACAGATCATCAAGAATACGAAGGAACTGGAAGACTTCATGGTCAGGAAAGTGAAGCAGAACCAGAGCACCCTGGACCTCAACTCCCCACGGAACTTCATTGATTCCTTTCTCATCCACATGCAAGAGGTGATCCCAGCATCCTGGGGAATAGGAGGTCCAAAACCAGGCAGGGGGAAAATCACTTAGGAAAGAAGGGAGAGCCAAGGCTCATTAGGGCCCCATGATACTCCTCACAGTCCTGATCGTAGTTAAACATTCCTCTTCCATCTGTTGAGCCATATCCAAACCAGCAAGCAAGTTACCAGGCCAACCCATTTTCCAGCGTTCCAGCGTTCCCCTGAAGGACACTGTTTTCAGTACATCCCACTATCCACCTGCTTAGCATCCACCGAAGCTGCTGAAAAAGAGTCTGTGGAGCCTGTGTTTCACAAGTGAGGAAACTGTCCCCAGAGTCTCTAAGTGACCTACCTGGCATCATGCAACAAGGATAGTGTACACCGAACACAAACCCTTGCCTCTATGTCTAGAAGGCTTTTGCTATCAACCACCATGATCTTATCACTTCATAACTTGGCTCTGAAATACACATCAGTGTCCCAGGAAGCCTGGGTTTATTATATGACATCAAAGGGCTTCACAGCTGGGAAAAGGACGGGAGTTCTGTAGAGCGTGAAGATCGAGGGACTCCTCTATGGGTTGTTTGTAAAAGGAGGAGAGACTGTCATTTAAACTCTGGGTCTGTGTCTCACATCTGCCTCCAATGACACACTCCATCGGGACATCTGTGGAGTTCTTTCTTACAGTCCTTACCCCTCACTTGCTCAATGTCACGACCAGAGAGTGACACCAGAATGGTTATTCAAGGACAGACAGTTGACTAGACAGAGAAGAGCAAAGATTCTCATGCACAGCCACACATGACCTGGAGATTGCATTTCCCAACTTGGTCTGGACCCTTTGAAAGCTGGTTCCAAAGACAACTGCAGGAGTGGTACCCAGGCCCCCCTCTTCCCTGAGGAACTTAGTCTGCAATTGACAGGAAAGGTGAAATTCTATTCCTTAGTGATGTGGCTACGGTAAAGGACCCATCCCCATGCAGGCAAGCCTGATGATGAGCCACAAAAAAAAAAAAAAAGTGACAATTGCAGGCAGGCGACTTATTAGGAATAAGAAGGGTTTCAATGGGCGGCAAAAGGGGGAAAGAGAAGACAATAGATTGGAAAATGTTCAAAGTGCATTTCCAATATGTGTCTGAAAAATGAGGATACAAGGTTCACAGGGTATGGAAGGGGTTCAACTGGGAGGATTTGGAGGAGGGGTTTGAATATACTCACAATACGATGAATGAAATTCTCTAGGAATTAATAAAATATTTGCAAAAGGATGACTAGAAAAATTTTAGAAGCTGGGCGTTGGTGGCACACACCTTTAATCCCAGCATTCAGGAGGCAGAGACAGGTGGATCTCTGTGAGAGCGAGTGCCAGGACAGGCTCCAAAGCTACACAGAGAAACCCTGTCTCGAAAATCCAAAAAAATAAAAATTAGAAAATTAAAACCGTTAGTGTCCCAAGGGAATGATGAGCTGATGAATGGATTTGTTCTCTCTCTCCCTCCCTCCGTCTGCAGGAGAAGAAGAACCCCGATTCCGAGTTCAACATACAGAACCTGGTGATGACATCACTGAACCTCTTCTTCGCTGGTTCTGAGACCGTCAGCTCCACGATGCGTTATGGCTTCCTGCTGCTCATGAAGTACCCAGAAGTGGAGGGTGAGGCTGGCTCGGGCGCAGGGAAAGGGGAGCCACAGATGCTCCAACCTCTTTTCTGAGCTGACCACAATGACCCTCACCCTGAGTGCTCAGAACTGCCCTGTTCTGCAGAGCCAATGGGGTATAAAATGCTTGAACAGGGTTCTCACTGGATATCAAAATGTTAGACATTCCCAAGTTGATGTCCCACTGGCTGCCAGACTCCTGCACTCTGGTCCATCTCCTGGCAGTCTTCCCTGTTCTGCCCCCATGTAAGACAAACTGTTTTACATATTTGAACTATGGCACCTGGTCTGTGTTGCCTGAACTTTTTTTTCCTGTTTTTTGTTTCCGTTTTGGTTTTTCCAGACAGGGTTTCTCTGTGTAGCTTTGGAGCCTGTCCTGGCACTCTCTCTGTAGACCAAGCTGGCCTCGAACTCACAGAGATCCACCTGCCTCTGCCTCCAGAGTGATGGAATTAAAGGTGTGCGCCACTACCATCAGCATACCCTGAACTTTTTTAAAAATTTATTTATCATGTATACAGTATTCTGCCTGCACGTATCCCTGTCGACCAGAAGAGGGCACCAGATCTCATTACAGATGGTTGTGAGCCACCATGTGGTTGCTGGGAATTGAACTCAGGACCTCTGGAAGAGCAGCCAGTGCTCTTAACCTCTGAGTCATCTCTCCAGCCCGTACCCTGAACTCTTAAACACAACTCCCCCTTGTCCTCCAGCCAAGGTCCATGAGGAGATTGACCGGGTGATTGGCAGGAAGTGACAGCCCCAGTTTGAGGACCGCATGAAGATGCCTTACACCGAGGCTGTCATCAATGAGATTCAGAGATTTGCTAACCTTGCTCCCTTGGGCATTCCTCGGAAGACTATCCAGAATACCACATTCCGTGGCTTCTTCCTCCCCAAGGTGCGGACACGCCCTCCCAGGAGGGGCCTCCAGCCCACTTCCGGGTTCCTCCATGCCTCTTGTCATCTGCTGGTGCCCGTCCCACTCCATATCTCCAATCAAAGAAACCCCTAGCTACCACGTCAGCCTCCCCAGGATCCTCTGATTAGATCACTGTCACCTCACCTTGACATAGCACCTTGGGAGATTCATCCTGTGTCCCCAGTTTCTTCTTTTTTTTTTTTTCTTAAGATTTTATTTATTTATTATGTATACAATCTTCTGCCTACATGCCAGCAGAGGGCACCAGATCTCATTCAAGGTGGTTGTGAGCCACCATGTGGTTGCTGGGAATTGAACTCAGGACCTCTGAAAGAACAGTCAGTGCTCTTAACCTCTGAGCCATCTCTCCGGCCCTCCCCAACTTCTTATCTCTGATTTCTAACCACCCTCTGCCTTGATAGGTATCAATCCCTCAACTCCTGGGCTGGAGAAGCAAAGGCCAACAGCCTGTCTGAGAACATGCATCCCCTCAAGCTCAAATCTCCTACCACAGGTCCCACACATTACAGCCCCTCTAAACTGTATTCCCTAGGCCCTCCCTCAGAGGGCCCCCCAACTCTGTGCCTTGCAGCTCTCTTGACCTGGGTCCCTGTGGGGTGTTTTCTCCACCAACCCACCTTCTCAAATCGACTCTGTCTCTCCTCCAGGACACCGAAGTGTTCCCTATACTAGGTTCTCTGCTGACGGACCCAAAGTTCTTCCCCAGTCCCAAAGATTTCAACCCCCAGAACTTCCTGGATGACAAGGGGCAGTTGAAGAAGAATGCTGCTTTTGTGCCCTTCTCTGTAGGTAAGAAAACACTGGTTCCTGGACCCCTGCTCACACCAACAGGGGTAGCTCGTGCCAGCTCCCTCTCTGGGATGTAGTCTAGCATCCTCCTCCTCCTCCTCCTCCAAGTTCCTCTTGGAATCTAACTTCCAGCCAACCGGGTGCAACCGCCTGACCTCCCAAGCATCAAACATCTGGACACAGGTCAAAGGGACTCCAACCAGGTTCAACCCCCTGACCTCCCAAGCATCAAACATCTGGACACAGGTCAAAGGGTCCAAGGGACCCCTTTCCGAGATGGGGAAAAGCAAAGCAGAGTCTGCCATCTTTCCTGGGTCCTACAAGCAATTCTACAAACTCCAACAACACAGCATCCATACCTGAGAACATAATTGGTAGAGGAAGCGTTTTGACCTCCCATTGCTCCAGCCTGGAATGGGTTACCCCACTTCGTGTGTAGGGAAACTGAGGTTTAGAGGGGCTTAGGAGTCTTTCCCAATGATCCCTCGGGCTCCAGCCCTTGGGCCCCTTCTTCCTATAAGAACGCAGCTGGACACCGGGTGCTGGGGCAAGGCAGCTGTGAGAGCTGCTTCCATCTCTGTGTTCCTCCTCTCTCTCCGCTGCAGGAAAGCGGTTCTGTTTGGGGGACGGCCTCGCCAGGATGGAGCTCTTTCTCTTCTTCACCACCATCTTGCAGAACTTCCGGTTCAAGTTCCCAAAGAAACCGGAAGACATCGATGAGTCCCCCAAACCGTTGGGGTTTGCCAGGATCATACCACATTACACCATGAGCTTCCTGCCCATCTGATTCCGGGGTCAACCAAGGTGGAGCAAGAGGGAGGGGGAGTCTGGAGTGAGACCAGAGACAGAGTGAAGGGAGAAGGTGAAAACTGGGGTTTCAGAAGGGACCACATGGCTGGAAGAAAATTTACATGCCCGCTTAAATTGTGACGTAATTAAACAAAAAGCATGCTGTTGACAGTGGTCATAGCAGCTGTCACTCACTGAGCAGGGGTTCCTTGTCCGCTCTGCCAACGTTGTCCCATCACCCTCTCATTTGGCCCTTCAAACCAAAGAAGAACAACGTGTCCCCCTGCCCAGTTTCCAGGTGTCAAGGGTGGGGCTTACAAACTTGAGTCTAAACTCTGGTTTTAAAGACTCAGGATAGCTATGCTTGGGACATAGGACTTTAGCCCCAGCAGTCAGGAGGGAACAGTGAGTGGATCTCTAGAAGGCCAGCCAGGATTACACAGTGAGACCCTGTGCAAAACAAAGACAAAATAACGAGGTGCATGTTGAGTTGTTGCAGGCCACAGAGCCCAGCTTGTACTTGAAGGCAGATCTGTAGCTGGTGTCGTTTGGGCAGGGTTGTTTTTTTTTTTTTTTCTGTCTTGTTTAGGGAGTGTTTTGTTTTGTGGTTGTTGTTGTCCTTTTTGTTTTGTACATCCATCCCTTTGTTTGGGATATCTTATTTATATTTACTTATTGGTGGGGGGTAGAGCATGCCATGGCACACATGTGGAGGTCAAAAAGGACAAGGTGTGTGAGCGTGTTCTCTTCTGCCTCCTTGTGGATCGTAGAACTCAACCCACAAAAGGAGCTTCCGATGAGGATATCCTTTATTAGAAAAACACCAGCCAAATGCAAACCACAGCATGCCAGGGGCAGCAAGGCAGGCAGGCCAGAGAAAAGGGTCTCTCCCATGTGCCTTGCATCCCCTTAAAACCCAATCATGAGTCATCCTGACCTCACCTTGACCACGCCCTGACAGCAGTGGTCAGGCACACCTGTAGGCAGCTTCTAGCAGGCATGGCTTACACTGTCACCTACACACATCATCAGCCATCTAACCAATTCATTTGGAAGGTTTCTTAATGCCACCCTTTCCTCAACAGAAACCACAGAGACCTGGGATATCCTTCTTGCCCCTCCTAAACAATCCTATCTGGTGTCTTTCTTCCACAGCCCTGGCAGGCAGCTGATCTGACTCCAAAACACACTGACTGTCCCTCAGCCTTGCCCTCTCTCTCTTTCACACACACACCTCAATCACCAGGGCATCTGTACCTTCCAAGACCCCCTCCCCATGCCAGTAAGCCCACTGTGTCTGACTCAGTCCATCAGGGAGACAGGAATAAAAGTACTTTGACAGAAATCCAAGAGAATAACCAATTGACACAGGTTGGCAACGAAGCGTGTGTTCATGCATAAAGAACACGTGGCCGTGGGATTGCCCATTGTCCTCAGTCCCTTATGTACGAAGATACTCTGCGTGTGTTTTGAAGGTGGGTCTCTCAAGCTCAGCTGCAGGGCCCAGCTGAAAGTGTTAGAATCTCCCGCCTGCTCCCTTGTGATTCGGTGTAAAACCTGTAAGAGATAAAACCTTTAATCACCACAACAATCCAAACACCTGGACACATCAGCCCGGGGTCCCTTTGTGTCATGAGCTAAATGCTGGCTACAGAACTGAAGAGATGGCTCCGCAGATAAATAGATTACCACTCAACCCGGGCAGCGTGAGTTCTAGCCTCAGAATCCATGTACAGCTGCGGGTGCGGTGGCATCAGCTGTAACCTCAGCATTCCCGTGGCGAGATGGAAGGAAGGGATGGAGAGATAAGCCGGAAGCTCTCAGGCCTGCTGGCCTGATGTGTGCCATTGTCTTCATTAGGGTTTCATACTATGAAGAGACACCATGACCATGGCAACTCTTCTAAAGGAAAACATTTAATGGGGGCTGGCTTGCAATTCAGAGGTTTAGTCCATGGTCATCATGGCAGGACATGGGGGGCATGCAGGCAGACCTGGTGCTGAGAGAAGGAGCTCAGAGTTCTACATCGTGATCTGCAGGCAGCAGCAGAAGGCTGTGTGCCACACTGGGCGGAGCTTGGGCATCTGACAACCTCAAAGCCCGCCTCCACAGTGACACACTTCCTCCAACAAGGCCACACCTCCTAATAGCGCCATTCCCTATGGGCCAAACGTTCAAACACATGAGTCTGTGGAGGCCATACCTACTCAAACCCCCACAGTCATGCAATGACAGAACAAGAAGCCTGCCTCAGACAAGGTAGGAGAGAGCTGTCCCCCTAAACACTGTGAAGGGACCAGGTCCTCACCCAGCCCCCTGCTTTGGCAGCCATGACAGGCTGTAGAAAAGGCTGTAGGCCTCTGGCTCAGCACATATCTGACCTTGCCGGACCTGCCCCAGTCACTAGGAGGTCAGAAACCCTCCACATGGCAAGGAACCAATCAGAAGTTAGCTGGCAGGCTCTGGACATGCTTTATAGCAGAAGTGCCTTATAGAGCATAGCAACCTCCCTGGGAGGGCCTACAGGCCATAGCAACCAGTTAACCAATCAACACACGACAGGTTACTGGACATGCACCAATCCTGAGACTGCTGTGTGCCCCCTGGACACTCCCCCTACCGTACACAATAAATTCCTCTGCCTTGCAGTTCTCTGGGTCCTTCTCACACCAGCCTCTGTGTTGAACGGACAAAGGGCCCGAGTTGATACAGTTAACTCGTTGATAATATAGGACTCCTTGCTTTTGCATTAGAATGGGTCTCTTGGTGATTTGGGCTTTCAGAATTTGGACACAACAGTTGCCCTTTCACCTCTGGCTGTGGTACACACAATCTGACATATGCATGCCCACACTCAAACATACACGATTTATTTAATACGAATGCTACATACAGACATAAACTGAGTCCTCCCTCCTCTCTCTCTCTCTCTCTCTCTCTCTCTCTCTCTCTCAGTCTCATGCACCACAGACACATGACAACTCACATTTCCAGGACTATGTCTCCATATCTCCATAATCCTATCCCAATGCCTATAATTTCCCAGGCAGTCTAGCAAACAGCCCAGCATCACAATCCTACATTATCCTGGGGAAT